ATCATCATCATCATCATCATCATCATCATCATCATCATCATCATCATCATCATCATCATCATCATCATCATCATCATCATCATCATCATCATCATCATCATCACCACCACCACCACCACCAACACCAACACCAACACCATCATCGCGACCAGGTTGAGATTGACGATCCAAAGCTGGTGTCAAAAGTCCAGGATCCGCCAGAGGCACCGCCGCTCACTGTTCTCTCGCTCAGCATGCAGACCCGCCACGACCGCAAGACGCACCAGAACGAGGTGGGCATGGCCGGTGTTGTTGTTGTTGTTGTTGTTGTTGTTGTTGTCACAAACACTTCCTTCACACACTTCATGCACACGTGTGCACGTCATTGCAAATCCTCTTGTGGTCTCACGCCTGTTGTCCAAACGCCCCGACAACACGACACCTTTTCCAGATTCTGTCGCTTGTTGGGCTGGTGTGCTCCAATGTGCAGCTGGATGGCAAGACGGAGAACATTGACAAGAACTTGAGTCATTTCTCGCTCATCCGCAAGCTCCAGGACCAGCCGTTTCCCTTTGACTTTGAGCCGACGATTATGCAGAAGAAGCGCGGGTGAGTGCCTGCCTCGTGTGGTTTGTTTGTTTGTTTGTTTGTTTGTTTGTTTGTTTGTTTGTTCATATGTGGTGTCTACTCGTGCACATTCTTTGACCTTGTGTGGATCGCTGCTGCTTGTGACGTCATGCGAATCATCTCTCACCCACCTCTCATGCTCACTCACCCACCCATCACGTTCGTCACCCACCACTGTCTCGCCATCCACCCACCACCGGCTGGCAACGACAGCACGAAGCGGTTTCCAAACGAGCGTGCGCTGCTCAGTTTCTTCCTCACCCGCGTGTTCAACACCGACCCCGACGTGATTGTTGGCCACAACCTCTTTGGCATGGGCCTCGATGTGCTCATGCATCGCCTCAAGCAGCACAACATTCCCCAGTGGAGCCGCATTGGGCGCCTCAAACGCAAACGCATGCCAAACCTGCAGGTGTTGTGTGTGTGTGTTTGTTTGTGTGTGTGTGCATGCGGTTTGTATATGAGTCCGTGTTTATGAGTCCTTCATGCGTGCCATGTTCGTTTGCAAGCACCACGTACTTGTTCCCAAACCACGCTGTTGCCACGCATCCACATCCACACCCACACCCACACCCACGCGCCCCACGCGCCCCACCTGACACTTCCCATGACCTTCCTTCACTGCATCTTGCATACTGACCACCAGGCTGGCCTCGGCCACCGCAAGAATCTCGCTGCCACCCGCGATGCGCTGAGCGGGCGGCTGCTGCTCGATGTGCAGCACAGCAGCCGCGAGCTCATCCGGCAGGTCAGCTACGGGCTCACAGACCTTGTGCACAACCAGGTGAGCAAGCACACAACTCGCGCTGTCGCGTCGACTGAGTGTTCCTAATTGCATACATGGCGCCTCTTGCTTCGCTTTCTCTCCCGTACGCGCACCGTTGTATGCGCACAGTGCTTGACACGCGCAGTGTAACCTCTCACACACACACACACACCACACTCTCACACACCACAAATGTTCACACACTTGCACACACACATACACACACTGGCTCACCATCGCTCATCCATCATCGCCATCATCATTTGTTGCAGCTTGGCATGAAACGCACTGAGATTGAGCAAGAGCAGATACCGCGCATGTACGGCAACACGGCCGACCTCATTCAGCTCGTCGACCACACGGAGCGCGACGCATACTACAGTCTCCAGCTCATGTTCAAGCTGCAGATCCTGCCCCTCATGAAGCAAATCACAAAGTGCGCAATCGTGCGCGCGTGTGTGTGTGTGTGTGTTTGTGCTTGCATGTCTTGAACACACGGAATCCACACTTGTGCTGTTTCAATCGAAGTTGTGCACCTTCAACCGACCTCACGGACCTGTGTACGTCTTCATTGCTTGCATGTGCGTGTGTGTGTGTGTGTGTGTGTGTGTGCGCGCTCGTTGCTGCAGCATCACGGGTGGACTCATGTCTCGAACACTCACACGCGGTCGCTCTGACCGAAACGAGGTAACAACAGGAGAGGGGAGCGCGATGTGAGGGCCGAGTCTTCAGCGTTTCTTGCTTTGCTTCCTTCTTGCTGCCTTTCCTTTCTTTAGCCAATCTCGAAGCGCAAATAGAATGTATTTGCACAACCCCCCCCCATACACACACACTCTCTCTCAATCTCACCGCTGATACTGTATTCTTTGCTTCTCACCTTGTTCACACCCAACACCCAACACCCAACACCCACCACCCAACACAACACAATTTCATTCGCGCTTTCCCCCTCTTTAGTTTCTGCTGTGCCACGAGTTCCATCGCCGCAAATACATTGTGCCCGATGTGCCGGAGCGAAACAGCGGCAAGAACAAGAAGGACAGCGATGATGGCGGTGATGGGAAAGAGAGCGCAAGCAGCCGCCGCAAACCGAAATACGCCGGTGGCCTCGTCCTGGAGCCAAAGAGGGTATGTGCAGCTGACTGCTCTGTTGTACGGATGTACCCATGTGGAGCGTGTTGGACTGGTCCTGGTGTGTGAACCACACGTTTGCCTGGAGATTGCGGCTTTGTTTTGCGCGTGTGCCCATCATGGTTACATTCGATCCTCACCACCGCCTCGGCCATAATCGCGACCATCACCAACCCCACCACCATCACCGCCACCAGGGCTTCTACGACAACTATATTCTGCTGCTCGACTTCAACTCGCTGTATCCGAGCATCATCCAGGAGTACAACCTCTGTTTCACGACAGTCAAGCGCGATCACCTCTCCGACGACATGGAGGACTCCTTCGCAGAGGTGATACGAGCACATATTGTCACGCACACGCGCAAACACATGGTCGTATGGGCACGCACAGCACGTATTTCCGCGTCACGCATGCAGAGAAGCACATTGACGTCATCTAAACAAATGCACTCACTCACTCACATTGCACTCGCTCACACTGCATCATTCACTAGATTCCGGACGAAACGGCCGACAAGGGCATTTTGCCTCGCATTCTGAAGACCCTGATTGCAAAGCGTAAACAGGTACGAGGTGGAATTGGTCTTGTTGTGCGCTGCTTCTCGCTGCTGTGCTTCTTTGCTTTGCGCCAGGTTCTGCCCATGTGCAAACACACTGCTGCCTCTTTCCATGTGTTTAAACTCACACACACACACACACACACGCACACACACACACACACGCTGACACTCTGACATGTGCGCGTTCAGGTGAAAGCGCTGATCAAGGCAGAGACAAATCCCGCGCGCTTGGCGGAATACGACATTCGCCAGAAGGTCCAACGCACATGCACGCATGTTGTGGCACGTCCACATGGTGTGATGTGATGTGGTGTGGTGTACGCATGTCTGGGATTATCTCTCCTTCTTTGTTCTCCGCTGAGGATCTACGCTCACTCGGCTGCTTGTTGGTGTGCAGGCTTTGAAGTTGACCGCCAACAGCATGTACGGCTGTCTCGGTTTCGTCGGATCAAGGTGTGGCACACTCAGCAGCTGACCACGACCCAAATGCATGCTTGTGGGGGAAATTGAACACGTGCATGCGATCACACACAATTCCCATGAACTCGGCATTGTCTCTCACAAACTACCTCACTTATTCTCCCCACCATCACCACTACTGCCATCTGCACCACTGCTGCTGCTATCAGGTTCTATGCGAAGCCAATTGCGGAGCTGATCACAACAAAGGGGCGTGAAATCCTGCAGAACACCGTGGATCTTGCCCAGAACAAGATGAACCTTGATGTCATCTATGGTGACACAGATTCCATCATGATCAACACGCGCTCGCGCGACTACAAGGAAACGAGGCAGATTGGCCACAGGGTGCGTGTCCTGTGCGTTCTTAACCACGTCGTTGCCATCTGAGACAGATGGGGATTGGGAGAGACGTTGTGTGTGTGTGTGTGCGAGTGAGCGATTGCGTGCGATTGCGTGCGAGTGTGTGTGTGAGAGAGAGCGTGTGCACGCGCGCATGTGTGCTCATTCCTCCGCATTCTGTTCTTACCTGACCTGTCTCGTGTCATTTGCGCCTTGTCTTCCATCCCTCCATCCAGGTGAAGAAGGAGGTGAATGCGCTGTACCGCGAGCTTGAGATTGACATTGACGGTGTGTACAAGACGATGCTGCTGCTGAAGAAGAAGAAGTATGCAGCTCTTACCATCGTCGAGAACAAGGATGGTACCTTCCGCACGGAACGCGAGACAAAAGGTCTCGATATTGTCCGTCGTGACTGGTGCGGTCTGGCACATCGCATCGGTAACATCATTCTCAACAAGGTCAGCCGAATGTGCGTGCATGTGCTTGCTTGTGCGTGCGAATGTGTGGAGTGGGTGTTTCTACTTTCCATGGCATATATCGTGTGTGTGTGTGTGTGCGTGTGCGTGTGTGTGTTTGTGTACGTGATGTGACGTACTAACGATGACACATCGTGTTGCTGCCGCTGTATCTTGGCAGATTCTGACACAAGAGCAAGGACAGCGCGACAAACTTGTGGAGGAATGCCATGAGGAGCTGCACAAGGTCCAAACACACACACACACACACACACACACAAACACAAACACACACACACACAAAGAAATGCATATGAACACAAACGCACGCACGGCCACGGACACCAATCTCACGCATATGCCATCTCACACACCACCTCCGCCTTTGTTTGCTGCCGCCATGTCACGTGCAATTGATCTCCCATTTCTCTGTCTGTCTCTCTCACGCACACACGAACACACACACACACACACACACACACACACACACACACTCCCTCTCTCCGTGTCACCGCTTCCCACATTGATCCTGACACCCAATGTCGCCTCGCCCTCCTTGTTGTGCGTGTGTTTTGTGCCAACAGGTCGGAGAGAGCGCGCGTGAGGGCACGATCCCGCTTGAGGAATACATCATCCACAAGTCGCTTACAAAAGACCCGAACCAGTACCCAGACGCAAAGAACCAACCGCACGTGCAGGTGAGCAAAGACAATGCACGATGGTTGCTCGCGTGTATGTATGCACGTGCATGTGTGCATGTGTGTTCGTGCGTGCGCGTGAGCGTGTCACTGACACGCGTGTCCTCAACACGGACCAGGTTGCACTGCGCATGCGCGCCAACGGCAAGAGCATTAAGCAGCACGACACCATCCCTTACATCATCTGCAACGACGGATCTGAGCTTCCTGCAACGTGAGTGCAACGCCCATGTTTGTGTACGAGCGCATGTGTGCGTGTGTGCACGTGTGTTGTGTGTGTGTGTGCACGTGTGTTGTGAACACCTCGTCCGTGCCTTTGATCGCTTGGCTGTGTGTGTGTGTGTGTGTGTGTGTGTGAGTGTGTGTTCGCCTGCTGAGCCTGACGGTGTGAAAATGTGCCAACTGCGTGTGCACGCAGACAACGCGCGTACCACCCGGACGACGTGCGCAAGAAGGACAACTTGCAGGTGCGGTCACCAACCATCACGTGTTTCACTTTGCCGCAACGAGCAAGCAATTGTGCACATACATATACAACCTTCACTTGAGCACGCACGCACTCACTCACACGTACGAGCACACTCACATGTGCGCACGCGTCCACAACTCACACTGACACTCGCGTGCTTGTTTTTCTTCTCAGGTGGATGTTGACTACTATCTCAAGTCACAAGTGCATCCTGTTGTCAGCCGCATGCTTGAACCAATCGAGGGAACCGACAACGCACAGGTACGGCTGTGTGTGTGTGTGTGTGTGTTGTGTGTTGTGTTTTTCGGTTGAACATTGTGCGCTTTGCGCTTTCGGATCCGCCACGCTTGCTCCTTCCTCCTTTGTGTTTTCGCTTGAACCCACCACCAACCATCAACGACACGTGCTCACCATCTGATGCACGCGACCTCTCAACACAGGTTGCCGAGTGTCTTGGTTTGGACGCGTCCTCCTTCCGCCGTCAATACGAGGCAACGGTCGGTATTTTTCATTGGTTGATTGTTTGCTCGTTCGTATGTATTCGTGGTCGTCTTGCGCATGCGAATGCGTGATTGCCAGTTCGTACGTTTCTTCCTTTGAGCAGCTTGCCAAGGCGCTGATCATCTCCTGACACACTCACACTCACTCACACTCACACGCACACGCACACTCACGACTGCGTACGCACGCATGCACACACACGCACACGCACACACACACACACACACACACACACACACACACACACACACACACACACACACACAGGATTTGGACGATGACATGTCGTTCTCGCTGTCAACGCAATTGACGGACGAGGAGCGCTTCAAGACGGCGTCACCGCTCACGGTCGTGTGCAGACAGTGCAACCACGAGTCCACGTTTGCTGGGGTGAGCAACCATGCATAACACTTGCAAAACATACCACACATGCCAATAGTCCCCTGCCCACACCACCACGGCCACTGCTGTTACGCCACATCGCCATGAACACAGCATGGTTGTAGCATGATCGAAGCACGGTCATAGCACGCCCTCACCCACCACCAACTCCCCTCCACCACCACCATGTGCATCACTGCACACGTACCCGCACCCGCACTTGCACCTGTGCATGCAGGTGTTCCGGCTGTCGGAGCAAGGCGACGTGCGTCTTGGACTTCAGTGCGCCAACGCGGGCTGCACCGCCATGTATCCCGTCAACTATCTCAAGAACAGGGTGTCTCTCGAGGCGCGCAAGGCAATCCACGAATACTACACGTGCAAACTCGTCTGCTGTAAGTGTATGGGGAGCGGAGCATGCAACTTGTGTGCACGTGTCTTGTCCGTCAGTGGAAGGAAACCCTTCCACGCAATTATACCTACACATGCCCCTGCATATGCACAGCGCAATGCCTTTCCCCCGCCCTGTCTCTTTCTTCCTCTTTCTCACACCACCACCACCACCACCACCACCACCACCACCACCGTCACCACCGCCATGACCATAATCAGCCGAGCCTGAGTGTCCGCGTCACACGCAGGGGACGCACCAGCTCTCTGTGAATGGCGCCCGCTGTCTTGAGAAGCGCTGTCAGGGAACAATGCGCAAACTCTACTCAGAACGCATGCTCTACACGCAACTCTCCTTCTTTGCCCACCTCTTCAATGTTCCACACGCCGTGCAGCAGGTAATCTTGGTGCACATGCACACGCACACGCACACGCACAATACGCGCTGCTTAGCATTGCTTCGGGTTGTTTGATGAAAGCTTCCTTCGCACGCAATTGTGTGCGTCAGTATATAGTCCCACTGCTCCTCGACTCATCTTCCTCTCCTCACATGTGCACCACGTGCTTGCGTCGTCTCTTGCTTGCCTGCAGCTTCCCGAGGAACTGCAGCGAATTGGACAGCAAACGGCCGACCAGTACCGCTCGCAGTACCAAGACGCCTTTGTGCACGTGAGTCTCATCCCAATTGTGTATGTGTGTGTGTGTGTGTGTGTGTCTGCACGTGCTCTGTATTGTTGCCTTGTCCCATTACCCTTGCCATCCATGTTGCTCACATGTTGTTGTTGTTGTTGTTGTTGTCCGCTCGTTCTTTCCACTCATCATCGCCCAGGCCGAGGCACTGCTGAACAAGAGTGCGCGCCGGTTTGTGCATTTGGGACAGCTCTTTGGCGCCATTAAGCTCTCCTTCTGATGGTGCAATGACCAAACAACCATACATACACAGCTGTGGTGCACATGTGTGTTCAAAGTATCATTGCTCTTCATTTCATGTCAGTAGTTGATCTCTTTCTTTTGCTTCACCATCTTCCCTGCCCATTCCTTCATGCTTCTTTTCTCTGGTAATGAACCGATTCGTGTCACGTGCAAAAGAAGAGCCATAGCATAGTCAACACCACCACCGCCACAACATAGTCCACATCAGTGCAAGACCAACTCCTCCCTCCCTGCTATCCCCACCACCACCACAGCCACAGCATCCACCGTTTGTGGGTCACATCCTGTATGTCTTTTTGTGATTCGACAAAATCCACACGACAAGCACGAGATCAAAGCGCATAACCACACGACATGTCCACCCTCACGTTCTTGGTTCAGCAGCGAACACACGACATTGCAAGCGAAGACAACAAGCACGCCAATCAAGCACACACTCATTTGTCAACATCAAAAGGGGATTGGGACGTTGGTTTGAATACAAACGTGAAGCGTGAAGAGACAAGCAAGGCAACCTGGACAACTACGTTGACGCACAAAAGCAAACGCGCGCACACACACACGACACAACGCGTGCTAAGATCCTGTTCCTTCCCTGTGTTCCACTATGCATCCGGTGTTGGTGGCGGCGGCAAATCCAAAAACTCATCGTCCCCTGCAAAGTTTGGCACGCAAACGAACACGTAAGAAGAGAGGTGGAATGTCAGGAGAAACAAAGGTAGTGCAACGCAGACGTCACACACACACACATGCACACACAGACATGCACACATACACACACATTTACACACCTGTTGGTGGTGGGGGCGGAGGAAGATCATCAACTTCGTCGTCGCTAAAACCGCCCGCATCCGCATCTGTCGGTGGCGGCGGCGGCGGAAGGGTGATCTGTGTCACGCTGCCATCGCCACCATCAAACGCATCACCATCACCATCATCATCATCATCGTCCTCCTCATCCTCGTCTGGTGGCGGCGGCGGTGCAAACATGGGCCCAAACGACATTGCGCGCGACAGGCGGCTCGCCCCGCCCCCACTGCCAATCGAGTCCTTGGATGCCGTCCGCGTCTCAAACAGCCGCGAGCCAGCGCCGTTCGGGGGCGCCGGTGTCTCTGCGGGCGTGTCCAGCGAATCGCTCAGCCGCGGCTTTGGCGAGCTGACGGCGTCGCTGCTTCCAAACGGGTCCTCATCGTAGTCTGGTGCAGGGATGGGCGGTGGCGGTGGCGGTTCTGTGTCGCCGTCTGTTGTCGCCGCATCCACAGTCATGTCGAGCGAGATGTGACGTGGGGACTGGCGCACACCCGTACCTGCGCGCGATCGAACCTGCACATCAGCACCATCAGCACCATCAGCAGCATCAGCATCGTCGTCGTCGTTGTCGCTGTAGTCTGCTGGCGGCGGTGGCGGCGGTACACCGGGCGACCGCTCAGAGGCCAGCGTTGCTCGACGAGACTGAATCTCGCCAATGTCAAGGTACCCGACACTTTCTCCGTCTGTCTCGTCACCGGCGTCACCGTGTCCACCACTGCCAACAGCAGCAGCTGGGTGGGGTCTCGTTGGTAGCACAAACGCCGACTGTGCCCGCGCATCGAGGTCGAGCGTCCCTGTGTGTGTTGTTGGCGAGTCCTCGTCGTCCGTCTCCTCAGCTTCCTTCTCCAGCTCATCCGATGGTGCTCGTGGAGGTGCCGGTGCAGGTGCTGCTGGTGGTGGTGACGACGACGACGACGACAATGACGATGTCTTTGCTGCGGCAGCCACGGGTCCGGCCTGCTGCACACCGCTGCCGTGCTCCTCAAGCTTGCCCCGCATGCTTGCTGTGGACTTGGTGCGGGGACGAACGGCAGGCGGAACCTTCTTCTGTGACCGCGGCGCTGCTTGGGGCGTCTGGTTTGCTGCAGCAGAAGTCGTGCCGTCATTCCCGCCTGCTGTTGCTGCTGTTGCTGCTGTTGTCGCTGGTTTCGCGTCTACTTCAAGGCCGGCATCCTTCACGTACGCCGCAGCGACATACCCTTTCTTTCCGTCAAGCTCGCCCTTCCACCAATTGGGGTCTGTCTTCTCGTGCACGGGGATGCGCGCGCCCTTTGCAAACGACAGCTCGGACGGGTTTCGCCCCTGGTAGTCGTGCAGCGCCAGCGCATATGTCACGACGCGCGGTGTCGGCTTGCGCTTGGCTGCAACAGGCTTCGAATCACCCGTGGCTGTTGCCCCTGATGCTGCTGTTGATGATGTGGCTGCTGTGGCTGGTGTGGTGGCGGAGGCGGCACTGTCTTTCGGTGATGCTTCTGCTTCGGGTGCGGTTGCATCTGTGGTGGAAGCACTGCCGTCGTGTTGTGCTGCTGCCGACGCAAAGATCCACTCGTGGTACTCAATGAGGCAGCTCATGATGGTGTTGACAGTGGTTGCATCACGCAGCATTGCGCCCATGTCATGCTTGGGCGCTGGCATGAGCGTTGGCCCAAACACGAGGGCCAGGTTCGACGTGCCCATCTTGTTGTCGGCCTCGTGTTGCGCCACCTCATACAGGAACGGCATGAGCACCTCCAACACGCGCCTGTTTGCGGGCGGCAGCCGCTCGTGCACAATTCGCCGGATGCCCTGCAGCCGCTTCTGCTGGTCAGGCAGGTTGCCAATCTGTCGTGGCGGTGGTGGTGGTGGGGAGTGGGTAGTTTGGTATGGTTTGGTTTGGTTTGACAATGGGTGAGGGCACTGTGTATGTGAAGAGTAGGCAGCGAAGAAGAAACAAGCGACAGCTTGCGTTCATAACCACAGACAGACAACCACGCACTCATGTATGAACGCGTGCACGCACACACACGCACACACACGCACACACACGCACACACACGCACACACACGCACACACACGCACACACACGAACCTGGATGAGGAGGGAGTAGTTATCGTTGGTCATGACGGGATCCGCCAGCTCACGCAGGAACAACTTCAACAGGCCTGCAGGTGTGCATGTGCGCGTATGTGTTTGTGAATATGTGCAATTGTGGTTGTATGTTTGCGATGACGACATGGGCGGCACCAAGCACAATGAAGAACAATGAAGCACGCTTTTGAGCGTGTTTGTGCACATGCACAAAAAACCCAAGCCAGCACAGCAATAAAAAGCGTCACCTGCAATGGCAGCTGGGTGGATGTGTGATGGAACGCCGTCTGCCAACGGATCCTGGCCGCGCTCAAACGCCTCCTTCAGCTCGTCAATCTGTTCCAAGGAAAAGAAAGGTTGGGTTTGATTTGGTTTGGTTTGGTTTTGGTGGTGGTGACATGTGGTGAGCCGAGTGTGAAGTGGGCTACAGAGCACGCACATACTGAGTACATTGACATTGTTGCAGACACGCACACACATACACACACATGCACATGCACGCACGTAGACACACATGCACATGCACGCACGTAGACACACATGCACACACACACACACACACACCGGCAAACACATGCACGCACACTGCACGCATGCGCAGTCCACGTGGTGTGCTACCTGCAAGGATGAGCCGGGCACCCTGAAGATGCCTTCCTCCTTCATGCCGATATCGCGGATGGCCTTGATGCAACTCTCAACCAGCAGTGGCACCTCCCTGTTCGTGGCGCTCGCCATCACATCAAGCACGCTGCCAAACTTGGAGGCGTTCAGCGCTGCAGGCGAGAGGCGTTCGCCCGCCCCCGCTGGCTCGGGGCGCTTGGCAGGCGTGGGGCGTGGCGGCCGCTTGGGCGTGGCCTTGGGTGTGACTTTGCCTGCAGGCAATGGCGGCTTTGCCGGCGGTTTTGGTCGCCCGGTACCGGCGCTCACAGACGCACCGCGGCGCGGATCAGGCGGGCGCTCCGGCTGAAGGAGAAAAAAGAGAGGGGGAGGGGGGTCAATAATGGGATGAGCGGCTGCTGCTGACTGCACGCCACAAACGTGGTGAGCACCTGACAGTAAAACATTAGTGACAAGAACAAAACCAACATAGGCAGACACAGAGACACAGATACAGACACACAGACACACAGACACACATACAGACACAGACACACACAGACACACAGCGCGGGCGATGCCCCTGCAACGTACGCGCTTGCCCCTGCGAGCGCTGCGGCCGAGACGAGGAGAGGAGCGTCCAGCCGGCGGTCCCGGTGGTGCTGGTGCCGGGCGCCGCACACTCATATGCGATGACCCCGCACTAATACCGCCGCTGCTGTCGTCCCCACCGCCATCTTCGCTGGCGGGCACGTGTGTGGTGGCGGTGTTGAGCCGGCTGCGTGCCACTTCCTCGTTCTGCAGCGCAGACAGCGTGGACGCAGCAGACCCGCTGGGACGCCGCGCAATCATCACGTGTGTATGCGTGCGTGCGTGCGTGTGTGTGTGTGTGTGTGTGTGTGTGTGTGTGTGTGTGTGTGTGTGTGTGTGTGTGTGAAGGCACGTGTGAGGCTGCAAAGTACAGGCAGCAATACAAGAACAGGAGCATTGACAAGTCGAACAACAAATAAGCATGGCGTGTGTGTGTGTGTGTGTGCGCATGGGTTGAGATGGCCAGTGTGTGTCAACAACACGAACCTGCGGCTGCGAATGGACTGAGCATCTGGTGTGTGCGTTGACGTGCCCTGTGGAAGACGAACAAGGACATACGTACACAACGGCAACGAAGCACTTTGTGAATCAGACGTCACTGTTCACTCAGCATTGGCATGACTCATGCGGGACAGCAACAGCCACTCGCTCGTGGTGGTCACAGTGTCACGGTATTGTGTTCGTGCAAGTCACGCGTCAGCTGTACCTGTGCGCTGCCGTTGGTTGTCTCCGGCGGAAGCGACGATGTGGACGTGCGGTGCGCCAGCCTGATGATTGATGATGCATCGATGATGATTGATGGTGGTGATGGTGATAATGGTAAACGAGGTCAGCAGGAGTGGCTCAAGCAAAGAAACAGAATGAGGTATTCGGACAAAGGCATGTAGTGCACGTGGTGCAGCAGCTGTGTGAAAACAAGTGGAGAACTCACGAGGCGCGGCGCAAGCTGCCACTCTTGTGCGAGGACTGAAGGTAATCAAAGTCCTCTTCCTCCTCCGTCTCGGATTCTGATCACACACACATATATGCGTTCGTATACAGACACAGACACACATGCAATGCACACGCAGCGAACAGTAAATGGAGTGAGCCGGGTCGGGGTAAGGAGCTGACACTGAAGAAACGTCAAAGTACAACAAACAATGCAAAGTGAGGAGACAGACAACGTCAGTTTGCTGACCAGAGAGTTGGTCTTCGTATGTGTGCGAGCTCATGGGTTTGTTTGGTCCCAGTGCCTGTGGACAACAGTGAAGAGCAATGGAAATTTGGTGTGTGTGTATGTGTGTGTTAGTTCGCACCGATTCAAGAAGCGTTATGGCAGACACAATCGCAGCCGCAAGCATGCAATTATGTGTGTGTGTATGTGTGTGTGTGTGTATTGATGAACGAACCTCGCCAAGGACCTTGAGCTGGCTGACAAGGGATGCTTTGTGCACCTTCTTCAACACAAGCCGGGCGTAGCTTTCTGTGTACATGCTTGTGTTCTCCACGCACTTGGGCACCCCTTCATCATTCGCCTATGCGCACGCGCAAATGTTGTGTGTGTGTGTGTGTGAGCCTGTGAGAGTATGTGGATAAAGAGAGATGTGTGCTAGTGGCACGCACAGGATACACGCACAGCAGGGCACACAGCAAACATGCGCACACACACGAATATGGGGGTAATACTAAAAGAGCAAGTAAGCGAGTGCGTATGTGTGTGTATGTGTGTGCGTGCGCGTGTGTGTGTACCTGGAGCGAATGTCCGATTTCGCGACGAAGAACACCAATGGTCTTGAGCGTCTTCTTCTCCTCCGTAATCTGATGATCGAGTTTGGCAACCTGAACATACACACACACGCACACACACGCACACGTCACCACACAAGCCATGCGCGTGTGCATTTCAAAGCGAAAGTGTTCGGTGAGCACACAAGGAATCAGGCACGTTGGATGACACAGTTCACCCCAGCAGCAGCAACGGCAGTCGTGAACAAGGAAGGACAGGGTACATCCAAGTGACGAGCAGGCATTGCAATTGCACAATAGCTGCAAATGGGCTTACCATCGCTTCGAGGTCCTGATAGCGGCCAATGAGGTCTCCCAGCGTGTCTGGTGTGCATTGAACATCCATCGGCTGAAACCAGCGCGCACGCGTGCATAAAGCAAACACGCACACAGACACACATCGAGGAGGAACGAGGGTGAGAATATATATGCAACGATTATCAAAGAAATTGCGGCAAGGGTATGAAATGGTCACATCCAAACAGCGATGATGTACAACGCATGCACTGAGGGCAAGGCGACAGACGCAAGAAACTCTCATACTCGCACAAATACAACAATACAAGCATATGCACACACACACACACACATAAACAACCAAAACACAAGCACGTACACCCGCGCACACACGCACACGATCAAGACACGTGGCGCACCTCGTCTGGCCTGAACTTGACAAACTCGAACATGCGGCGGTCCATAAAGTACACGCGGTTGTCCTTGAAGAACTTCTCCTTCTCCGCCTTGGCGCTGACGCTGCTCGCCGTGTCGTGCACCGTCTCAATCGACTTGGTCACAATCGCCTCCGCCTGTGGGATGCGCGTGTGTGAATACATGTGTGTGTGTTATGTTGAATGTGCGTGTATGGGGTGTGTGTATGAAGTGTATGAATATGTGTGTGTATGTGTTGAATATGTATGCGGTGTGCGTGTGTGTGTGCGTGTTTGAATGCATGTGGGCGTGTGGGCGTTTGGGGCGATCACAACCGATCAGGCATGAGGCAAAATGAAAGGAAAAGGGGGAATGCAGTCGCACAACACACACACCACAGACACAACCAACACGACGCCAGAGCTCAAACGTGTCGGGCACGCATTGCCCAGCTGGACGCGGTACAAACCTGCATGGAGAGATCACGGAAGATCTTGAAGATGTGGCGGAAGTTGGAGTGGAAGTACTTGTCCATCGCGTCCACCAAGTGGCTGATCTCACGCTGCAGGGACAGAACGGAAATTGGAGTTCAAGAAGAAGAAGAAGAAGAAGAAGAAGAAGAAGAAGAAGAAGAAGAAGAAGAAGAAGAAGAAGAGGGGAGGGGGTAGCACACGTACAAGCCGCGGTGGCAGGGACAAGCAAGCAATGACGACGATGAGTGATGGGTGAGGGGTGACACTGACACTGACTGGCAGCATGACCTGTAAACACACACACACACGCACGCTCGCGCAGACACATGCATGCGCTCACAGCGCACCTTGTAGTAGCGCCGCTTGCACGCGTTGGCGGAGAAGAGGGAGAGGACGTATTCATTGCGCGCAGCAACGGCCTTCTTCTCAGCGAGAACCACCTTCTCTTTCATCTGGGGGCCGGAGTAACATGACAGCGCAACGTGTGCACGAATGAGAGAGCGAGAGAGTGCGTGAGAGAGAGAGAGTGCGTGTGGGAGAGTGAGTGAGTGAGTGAGTGAGTGAGTGTGTGATGTAGCGTTTGTGAGGACGCAGCAGCACAGAAGCGTGGGCACTGCGCCATGCACAGTCATGGTTAGCTGTTGTGCAGGCAGAACTCATCAATGCAACGCACTTTCTCGCCCTTCTTGATTTGACCCTTCTCCTTCGCCTTGTCCCAGCTCTCCTCTGCCTTTGCGCACTTGGCTATCAACCACACACGCGTTGTCATTGCATCATTATCACGGACGCAGCCATCAAGCGGGCGAGTGAGCGAAGCACATGAAGAAATGGAGGGGGAGCGAGGGGGGCACAAACAACACACACACACACGCACACAACACGTGGATGTGCGTGCAACAATACAAACACCAACACACAGAGATGCGGTGTGTGGCTGCGTACTTTGCGAAGAGTAGTAGACTTTGAGGGTGTCGTCAACTTGCTTGAACGACCGCTGAAGCTCAAGCTGCGAAGAAGACAACACGCATTGCAACCCACAAGCACAAACGTGTCAGCATGGGTAGATAGCACACACACACAGAAAAGAAAGAGGTATGCAAGCACACACACATATGCACGCACACACAAACACACACACACACGCACACACAAACACAGACACACGCACACACAGGCAGGCGAGCAATTCCGACACAGTGCATTCGTGCACGATTGCAGTACAGACCTGGATATGACCGCCAAGTTCAAGGCAGCGCTTCGATGCAGCCACACTCTCGCGCTCTAGGCAGTCCAACCGCGACTGGTGCGGGCATGGTGTGTGCGTGTGTGTGGTAGGGTGTGTGGTAGGATGTGCAGATGGAGGTGAGGATGCTACACATGCAATGGATCACGAGCACGTCAACAAGTGTTGCGCATGAATGCATGACGACATGTCATCTTCACACCGCCGCCTCTGACCCACTCATTCATCCACTCACTCCCCTCCCCAACTCCCACTCGCTCACTCACACACAGCCACGCGCGCGCGCGCACTCACACACACGCACACGCGCACACCTTCATTTCGTCTGCGAGGTTTGTGGCAAACCGCTGCCGGGCGTCTGCGCGTTTGCGCATCTGCTCCAACAGCACATACCACACGTCCATGACCTGCCCGTGCGTCTCGCCATCCAGGCGGGACGCAACCGCCTCGTTCTCTTCGCCTTCTTGCGTGGGCCGCCTGCAAACGCACACGTGGGTGAATGGGTTGGCGCATTGGCGAGTATGGTTGTGAGTGCGAGAACAGAGGAGACACATGAGTGAAAACGAGGCTACGACACACGCCGTGGGCGGTGTGCAAATGTGCAGTGCGCAAGACTGCGAATAACGAAAACCACACACACACACACACGCACACACACACACACACACACACACACACACGCACGCACACCTGAGGGCCTTGGCGACGTTGGCCACGGCTCCCCGCTCACTGCGCGGCTTGACAAACTTGGCATACAGGCCATCCAGCTGCCGCGCATACTGGAGTTCAATGTCGGCCTGTTGTTGGGATGGACAGTGGCGGCGTGTGAGTGTGCAGCCGTGGGTGGTGGGCAAAGGCACCAACGCGGCCGCACAAGAGTCTACAAGCAGACATCAGCGTCACACGGCCAACACGATGCACACTGCACACAGACGACAATGCGAAGGCACAGCGGCCTCACCTGGCGGGTGAAGAACTCGTTCATGTCGCGAAGCAACTCCACCTTCTTGGATGTTCGGCCACTTAGGGCCTTGAGCTGAAGGCGCACATCTGGCATTGACATCAAGGCAAAACCACAGATGAGCAGATTAAAACGGCTCAACCCACTTCACACAGCTTGTGCAAGCGCGAGCGAGCGCAAGGCGCGCACAGACGCAAAGCACGCACAGGCATTTCTCGATCAATGTGCTCACTTTTGATTTCGTCGTCAGCCTCTACCGCAAAGGAGTTGACGGGATCCATCGCTGGCGGCGCTCTTGTTTTCGTGTCAAGTCTGTCAAGTTCTCTCCCTCTCACACTCACACTTACGCACACACTCACGCACAATCCACCCTTATGTGCCACCTCACGTCAAGCGAGGGGTGTTGTTGTTCGCTGTCGTTGGGGGCTGAAGTTGCGGATGCCTCAGTCTCACGCACAAACACACGCACACACGCGCGCGCAGTCCAGGCCTGCGACAGTCGAACTGCTTGCTTGCTTTGCTTTGCTGTCGCTGTCTTTGCTGCTTCGGTGTTGGTGGTGCCTCCGACAACACACACACAATCCAACCCACCAATCACAATGCACACTCACTCTCGCAGCCAACGCACACCAGCTGCGAAACAAAACAAACGCCTCCTTGCTTGCTTGCTTGCTTGCTTGCTTCCTTTGCTTTGCTTGTTTGTGTTGGGTTGTGCGAATTTTTCTTTTTTTTTTTCCACCTTGGCCTGAGGCGCAACCGAAACTTCTTGGAAGACTTTTGTAATTTCTCCTCAACAGAAACACACTTTGCTGGATCGAGTAAGCAGAACAAGCAGGAAGCGAACGAGTGTGGTGGTGTGGTGTGTGGTGTGTGGTGTTTGGTGTGGTGTGAGTGGGTTGCTTTGATGGCTGTCGGGAGTTAGGCGGTGGACCAGGCTTGAAGGCGAGTGAGAGTGTTTGAAAGCGCAGCACGCCAAGCGGTTTGGTGCTCCTGTGGTGGATGGAAATTGGGGCGGAGGGAGGGCAGGGGGTGTTGGCGGATGAAACGAGCAAGAATGCACAAGCACACACACGCACATACAAACAAACACATACAAACAAACACATACAAACACACATACAAACAAACACATACAAACACACATACAAACACACGCACATGCACACACCTTTGAGTCGCCGGCAACCCGCAGAAGCACAATCTCCTCTGCAATTGGGCTCAGTGCTGGAAGCGTCACCACCAAACAGAGCAAGGGGTGTGAGATCAGGGGACAAAGCAACACAAAACACAACGAGCAACCAATGACTTGCTTGTATGTGCTTGCGACCAGTGGCATGCCACACGCTACATGCCGCAAATCAAACTCACCGCGAAGATCAAAGGAATGGTGCCGTGCACACTCCTGCCGAGACACACGTTGTACGTGTGTGTTTGGGGGCAAGGTGGACAGGTCCGTCGTCGCCTGTTGCACACCACAACACAACAACACACAAGTCACCAAAACCAGCACGGCAGTGGTGAGAATAAGAAGAACAAGAAGAAGAAGAACAACAACAGCAGCAGCAACAAAAACACGGTGAATATCAGCATCCCACACCGTGTTTGACCACAAGACGAACCAACTTGTTTGAACGGTTGTGTGTGTGTGTGTGTGTGTGTATGCTTGTGAGAGAGAGAGCGTGTGTGCGAGTGTGTACCAGGAGTTGGCGGGGCTTAATCTGCGTGTACTGGGACATGACGCCGTTCTTGAGCACGGTCCAGAAGCGCTCCCAGCCACAGTCTGTCTTGAAGGTGAGGAACCCCTCGTAGTCATCCGTCTGCACAGCGGAGATGCGCGACGACACAAACACAACATCCCCAACAGGGTGGTCCTCGCCGTGCACAAGCGTCAGGTCAAGGTGGTGGTCGCCCATGTCGCTCTGCGTCAGCTTGAACTCAGCCAACTGCAAACGTCACGTGGCAGAGTGACCGTCGAGACAAGGGTGACAAGGCACAGCGTGAGTGGAACCACGGCGTGCGCACAAAATTGGACTGACCAAGAAAGCAACAGGACCACATATGGTGCAGCGACGTACACATCCGCACACACACACACACACGCACACCTGCACAAAGTCCTTTGTGATGTCGCGAGTTGTGCCCTCACGCGTGCGTGGGCGAGCTGGGCGCTCGGGCGTTGCTGGACCACGCGACCCAGCACGGCTTGAACGCGAATCCGCGAGCTCTGTTCATGCACAGCGACGAGCATGAGTCATTGCGACAACAGGAGCTGACACCAAGTTTGCCAGCTCGTTAAAACGCTTATACCCCATGTCAGGCACAATCAACCCGTGATCAAACAGCGCGGACGACGCGAACAGAAGTAGAAACATATGAACACACCGCTGAGTTTTGACGAAATAATCTGCCTGAACTTCTTGAGCTTCCGTGGTGTTGCGTTGCGAATGTGCCGCGCAGCCTGGCCCATACGTTCCATGGCCTTTTTGGGCGTGCTCACCCGGCGCTGTGCCTGCACGCGCTACGCGAGAGGCCGTTGTGCATGCAGTTGCGTGTGTGTATGTATGTGAGCGTGAGCGCCAGTGTGTGCGTGAATTTGTGCGTGAGTGTGTGCGTGGGCGTGAGTGGGGTGTATGCATGTAAACAGTTGTGACAAAGGAACAGCACGCAACACAATACTCTGACTCTCTTACCTCTGGGTCCGTGAATGTGTAGCAGTACACTTGCGCCTCCACGGTGAAGCCCGGCTCCACGTTCTCGCTGATGGAGCATCAGAGTGAACGCACGTTGAGGCGATTGCATGAACGGCAGTGGTGTAAAATGCACAAGAGACACACTTGCATGCCCCATCCACGTGAAACTGTCGCCCATGGAAGCACATGCGTACACGGCACGCATGGAAGCACACCCACCCACACACACACACACACACACACACACACACATATACACATACACACAAATACACGCACGTGCACGCGCAACTTACAAGGAGATGGTGTCCCGCAAGGAAACCTCTGTGGCGTCGCTGCTGCCGTCCACACGAACCATGCGGGTGGCAAATGACTGGTCCTTGTACCGGAGTGTCACAAACAGAAAGAAGGAAGACGCCTCACGGTTGGGGATGGTTGCCCACCAGTGCAACCGCAGCCGAATCTGCGTCAGTGTCACCGTCCGGGTCAGCGCTGTATCGACCTTGCCCTCGTCGCTCTGGTTTTAAAGTAACAGCACACCACCAACATGAGTTGAGTGTGATGAGATGGTACTACATTGAAGCTCTATTGCGACACACACACACACATACACACACACACACACACTCGGTCAATCACACACACATCCACATCCACACACAACCACAAGCGCACACACAACCACAAGCACACACACGAGCACGTGCAGAAACGCATGCGCCTCCTCACCTTTGCCAGAATGGCTGCGCGTGCGACCTGCGCCGCCTTCCTGTGGTAGAGGGGCTCGATACTGTCGGCCTCGGAATAAAACTGACACATGCGCTCTGTTGCAGTGATTACCTGAAGAGGCAAGCAGCAAGCACACAAGTAATCACACCCTTTGTGAGTGGCGCGACAAGTTTCATGATGGAACCACTCCACAAGCCTCCACTCTCACATGATACACACCCACCCACACACACACACCCACACACATACACATACACACATACACACACACTTACACAAAAACACGCGCCCACACGCACCTCCCCCACACACATACACACACATACGCACTTTCTCGTGGCGTTCAAGCTCGTGGTTGGTATCAGATGACTTGCGGCCAACAAGCACAGATGCTGTGCGTTCAAAGTTTGGCGAGCACAGGTACGCGCGACGCGGGGACATCATGCGCGAGTCAGGCGGTGACAATGCCTCGTTCAGGCCAACCCGATCCAGTGCAACCTCGCTGCGAGCTGCAAGGCGGGAGGCAGAAGCGTTGCTGGCACGACGGCGCTTGCTCAGGTTCGGCTGGCTCGCACGAAGGTGCCGCGAGTGAGCCGAGCTGTCTGCAGGCACAACCATATCATCATCGTCACCATCATCATCGGAATCCGCTTGGTTGCTGCTGCGGTGTTGCTGCTGGGACACGGGGGCATCCATGCAGATGGAGTTGGAACGACCGCGCACGGACGCTGTCTTGGACAATGCAGTTGCAAACTCACGTTGCTCCATCGACAGCTGCCGGTTCCCACTGCCTTTCAGGCGACCCTGCACGTCTTGTTCTTCGTCGTCCTTGTCGTGTGCATGGTGGCTGTGTTCGATGGCTGCGCGTGCCTCGGCACCACGGTGGTGGCGCTTTGGCTTTGGCGGCACGGGCGTGCCTGCAAACTCGGCAAGCGTCTCCACTTCGTGCCATGCATCATCACTGTCTGTGCTGCTGGTGCGGGGCACAGACTCGATTGCCGTGCCCTTGATAATGCTCTGATCAGCGTCGTTCACATCATCCTCGCAGTCAACATCATCATCATCATCCTCGCCGCCCTCAGCCTGGTCCATGTTGCGTGCGTCTCTCACACCACTGCTGCTGCTCGTGGCTGTATCTGCGGTTGTGGCTGTGGCTGACGGTGCTGCAGAGCGGCGGCGACCAACCAGGAACTCATAGTAGCTCGAGTCTGCACTCATGTCGGCCGAGTTGTCCTGCATGCCGCGCACAGCGTCTTTGTTCCCGCCATCCACTGCAACAGAGCCTTCGTCGCCGTGATCACTTTGATCCATGCGGCTCTCATCCACACTGTCATCCCCATCCACCTCTGTCTCCCGCTCAGCGTCTTCCTCGCTGCTGAGGATCTTGCAGTACGGCAGGGCGTCCGCCATGTATGCAGACTCACGGCAGCTTTCCACAGACGCGCGCCGAGTGAGGCGCTTGCTGATGGCACTGGGAGCAGTGCTGCTGCTGGAGGAATACTGCTGCTGCTGTTGCTGCTGCTGCTGCTGTTGCTTCTTTGGGCGACGACGCACGCCCTTCGTGCCATCATCCTCTGCGGCTGCGTCTGCGTCTGCCTCTCCAAACTTGAACGTGCTTCGCCTGCCCTTGTCCGTGGCGCGTGGGGCAGTCACGGCTGGTTTGGAGTACGCACGCTCAGTGCTGGTCTGCAGCTGTCCGAGGGCGGCCCTTGAGTCCTGCCGCTGCACAGGTGCACCTTTGTGTCGCTTGGGTGCGACAGGCGGCGGGGCCCGCTTGCCGTGCTGTTTCGGTACACTGCGCTCGGGAGCGTTTTCCTCATCCTGTTCAGCCAGCAGCATGTCACCGCCAAAGGGGTTGTTGACGAGGTCCTGTGGGGCGAAGGAGCTGCGGCGGCGGCCAATGCTGGGTCGACCGCTGCTCTTGCCGCGAGTGCTGCTGATGCTGTGTGAGCTGGTGCCGCTCTTGAGAGGCGGCTTTGTCAGTTCTTGTGCGAGGATGGCATCGCCGATGGGTGCAATGTCCGATGTCCGCGTGGAGGTGGGCTGGGATGTGTTGCGGCTTGGAAGCTCGGTCGTGCGAGGGCCATCTCCCAGTCTCACGGCGTTACTCTGCCTCGTGCGCCTTCGCCTCGCCTTCTCTTCCATCTGCGCATGCAACATGTTCGCAGAGATGAGTTGTGTGTGTGTGTAGTTGTGTGTGTGTGTAGCTGTGTGTGTGTAGTTGTGTGTGTAGCTGTGTGTGTGTGTAGTTGTGTGTGTAGTTGTGTGTGTGTGTAGCTGTGTGTGTAGCTGTGTGTAGCTGTGTGTAGCTGTGTGTGTGTGTGTAGCTGTGTGTGTAGTTGTGTGTGTGTAGTTGTGTGTATATGTGTGTGGCTGTATGCTGTGGTGCATGTCACGCAATCAAGGACCGACAGAAGCAGCAACCAATGAACACACGCAAGCATGGCGTACCATGCGGCGCATGTCAGCTTTGACGCGTGCTGCCATGGTGGCTCGCTATGCTGCCCGCTGGGCTGATGTGGAGATGCTGCTGGTGCTGCTCTTGAGTCGGTGGTGGTGCTCTGTATCGATGGTATCGATGGTCGCAGGTCGTGCGTGTATCTTTCTGCTGGATGATGGAGGAATTCGAATTTTTCGCGGCAGCGCCTTGTCACCACAACAGGTTGCGTTTGGTGGAAAATGTGGCAGATCGTCGAGGTACGAAAATTAACGTAAAACTCCAACAAATGCTCATCAATGGCAACAGCCCGCTGAGACCGAAAACGCAGCACAACAGACCAAACAGCAACGGCCACACCAACCAACCAAACGCACACAAGCAAGCTCAACGAGCGACGAGACGACGAAGCGAGTGAGCCGTGGACGGAACACATTAAGCCTCGCTTCAAGGATTGGCTAGAATTTCCCAACAACGGGCTGTGGTGCACGTTCTGTGACGATAGAGGCGTCTTACTGGACTTGGTTGTGGTGTGGAAAACCTGACTGTGTGACCAGCGACCCTGTCGTACGCAGATCTCAGCCGCCATCAGAACCCAAACATGGACAGTGAGAAACCGCTGCTCTTGTTCAATGCCGGCAAGAAAGAGGTGTTCTCTCCTGGAAGTGGGTTCAAGCAGCTCACGCGAAGGCTCAGATCAACATGGAGAGTCGCATCGTAAGTCGCCCTGGCTGCGCGTGGTGAAGAGGGTGGTGTAAACGAGGCCTGAATCGCGTGGTGTGACTGTTGCACATGTGCAAAACTCTCGGCGCAATGTCCTTCGCGGAGGGAGGGGGAGGGTTGAAGGGCATTGAAGCTCACTTCCAACTTTGCACGTGTCTGGCGTGTCGTTTTCAGGTTGAAGGAGGAGTTGACATCAGAGAGGCTGGAGGATGCACGCGTCCTTGTCTTCGCCGGCCCGCGACAAAAGTTCACAGCAGGAGAGGTAATGTCGCCGCTCTGTGTGTGTGTGTGTGTCTGTGTGTGTCCGTATGTATGCGTGTCTGTGTGTGTCCGTATGTATGCGTGAGTGTGTGTGTGTGTGTGTGTCTGTGTGCGTATGTCCGCGCGTGTGTTTTTTGTACGTGTGTGTGCGTGTGTTATGTGAGTAGTATTCATAAGTGTGTGCGCCTATCAACACGCACAAACGGGTGTTTGATGTGCTTGTATCAGTTTGCGTAGACGCGGTGGAGCATCTTTCCTTGCTGTGTATCACGCACGAACAACACCCCTCCCCTCTCCTCCCCTCCCCTCACACGCGCATGCATTATTTGTGTTCATTCTGTCCTCCGTGTCTTGGCGCCACAGTTTGAGGTGATTCGGCAGTACTTGGAGAATGGCGGGAGCCTACTCATCATGGTGGGCGAGGGCGGCGAAACCCGCTTTGACACAAACATCAACTTCCTGCTGGAGGAATACGGCGTCATGGTAAACGCCGACGCTGTTGTGCGCTCCACCTTCTACAAATACCACCACCCGAAGGAGTGCCTGGTCTCCAACGGCGTGCTGAACAGGGAAATCAACAAGGCGGCGGGAAAACCGCAGCCCAGTGGCAGGGCAGATGATACGGCCTTTGATCAGATGAGCTTACAGTACCTGTACCCGTTTGGCGCAACGCTGAGCGTGCAGCCACCGGCTGTTCCCGTTCTCAGCACAGGCAACGTCTCCATCCCGCTCAACCGCCCAACCTGCGCATTCTACAGCAACGATGTGCGTTCTATGTACCACCAGTGGTGCCATTTGTTTGTACCCCACCCCGTTGCTGGTTGTTTTGTCTGTCGTTTTGGTTTCTTCCTTTCAACGCCGCGCTGCCAATACTTGTCGACGTTCAGCGCCATGTTTCACTCAAAGTCATGCGTATATGCTTTCTATTCACGCCGTTTGCTGTCTGTAGTCTCGCCCGGGCAAGCTGGCGGTGATTGGCTCCTGCCACATCTTCAGTGACCAGTACCTGGACAAGGTGTGTGCGTGTGCGTGTGTGTGTGTGTGTGCGTGTGCGTGTGCGTGCGTGTGCGTGTGTGTGTGTGTGTCATGTGTCCTTTGTTGTGCGCTTGATGTTTTGTCGTGTTGTCGACTGCCTGCCTTCGCGGCACCTTTCTTTATGTCTCGCAAACAACGTCTCCCTTCCGCCTCGCCCCTGTACCGGTTATGTTCGTCAGGAGGAGAACGGCACACTGCTGGACGTTGTGCTGTCATGGTTGACAGACGACGACTTTGAGCTCAACCACATTGACGCAGAGGAGCCCGAGATTTCAGAATACGTCCCCATCCCACACGTGCAGAAGCTCGCAGGTGTGTCTGTGTGTCTGTGTGTCTGTGTGTCTGTGTGTGTTTGTTTGTTTGTCTGTGTGTCTGTGTGTGTGCGACATGCCTGCTGGCGCGCTCAGTCTCGTTTTCTGTTCATCACTCGACCCAAACCATTCCTCACACGACACCCCCCCCCACCACCACCACCACCACCACGCGAGCAGATAAGCCGCGCGTGTGTCTGCAGGAGAGCGATGACGTCCCCCGCGATTTCACCACGCTCTTTTCCGGCTCTCTCTTTGGTATCTCCACCAAGCACATCCCAGCCACCGTGCAGGCGTATGCAGATCTTGATGTCGCACACGAGCAGTTGCGTCTGATTGAGCCGCAGTTTGAGGCGCCCCTGCCACCACTGCAGCCTGCCGTGTTTCCGCCCACGTTCAGGGAGATGGGCCCACC